CGGAATTTTCTAATTAATTGGGATTCACATTTATAACCGAAAATGGCTGCTACATACGACCACAATACACTCGACTAACTGCACAATACACTGAACGGGGGAAATTGAAGCAACAACAATAGCATGTAGTAGTGTAGTGCAGCACATAACGTTACACAGGCACACACGCACAGAGTGTAACACGATGACAATATTCCACAGAGATAGCAAATGTCGAGTCGAAAGAAAATATCTTCCCATTACCATATGGGTTGTAGACGAGCGGATGCAGAAGGAAGTCTTCCGCAAGAAGTATACAGAAGAGCATACGGCAAACTGGCATGCCCACACGTAGATATCTACACATTCGTATGTGTTACAAACACGAACATGAACGTTAATATATGAACTGTGTTGTAAAAGATGCCAACATCTTTATATTGTGTGTATGTTCTCTGACTGAACTAGACTAGACTAGACTAAACAGCAGGAGGGTACTTAAAATAAATTTTAATTTTTTTCAAGAAACTTTCAAATATGTGGTTATGAAAATTAAGTATATGCCATAGTATCGTTTGCAAAATTAGTTCTATTAAAAACGAAGTTCGAGGAAAGTGACTCGAAATAATAACACTGTGCGAAAAACTCAATTTTTACAATAACTACAGGAAAAATCCAATAGGTTATAAAAGTATATGTAATAGATAAATATAGAAGCTACCTGTATCAACGATTAAAATTAATAGTGGGAGCAAGTGCCCCTCCTTTAAATCTGTTGAGAAATTTCCAGATTAAGAATCCGCGGAATCTTTGCAATTTCAGTATACAGGGTGATAAAAAAAAAAACTGCAACCAATTTCAGATTTCTTTCATTTCTTAGCCACACGTCCGACATCGGTTAAAAATATTCTAATGACAGCTCATTTTATTGTTTACAAGCGTTTTGCAGAGGTTTTTTCAAAAAAGATATTCGTGATGGAATTCAAGCATGATAGTATGATTCCTTCATATTTGTCTGGAAAACCACAAGTGGCCATTGTTAGAGCACTCCAGCATTTAAATGTGAATAAATCTTTTGTGTCTCGTACCATAGCTCGTTACCGTGACACTAGTAGCGAAACTCGACGTCAAGGAAGTGGACGGAAGACAACAGCAACATCAGCAGAAATGGTTCGAAAAGTAAGAAGCTACTTGATCGAAACCCGCGTCGCAGTGACCGAAAATGGCTCGTGAGCTGAACACATAGCAATATTCCATTCAGCAAATATTGAAAAATTAGCTCGGGGTAAAGCCATTGAAATTACAAAAAGTGCAAGAACTTACACTGCAACAGAGAAAAAAATAGACTCAAAAGAGCTAAAGAGATGCTTCACTTGGGCGAAAGGGGTGAACTGCCGAATTTGGTTTTCTCCGTCTCTGATGAGAAAACATTCGTTGTCCAGCAATTCGTTATAAACAAAGAGGTCAGCTGAAAATGTGAACCTTCGGATGGCCACCAGAACTCAAGAGCCGGCCATGGTGATTGTGTGGACCGGCATAGCAGCCGATGGTCGCTCTCCGCTTGTATTAATCGACCGCGACATCAGAATTAATGGCGAATATTATCGCAAAAATATTCTGGAGGGTGTATTAAAGGCTTGGGCACTCAAACATTTTGGCCGCAGACTTGGACATTCCAATAGGACTCAGCACCATCGCACTCAGCACGCGCCACCCAACAATGGTGAAAAAATGAAGTTCCTCGCTTCATTTCCAGCTCACAATGGCCACCAAAATCTCCGTATACCAAACCGTTGGACTATTGTGTCTGGAGCATTGTGGAAAGGAAGGTTGGCATTAAAAAATACCAAAATGTCGATCAGCAAGCGCTTCGACGGGAATGGGCCAAAATAACATTCGGGCAGCGTGTGACGGTTTCATTGGCCGTTTGACGGCCATAATTCGTACCAAAGGTGATTAATTTGAACAAATCTAAACTTATTCTAAAATTTGATGCTATTTCCGACATTTTTTGCTTTCATTAAATAACATTTAAAACAAACCAGTAAAGAAAATCTTAAAGTCCGAGCCGACTTTATGATACCCTACATCACTCCACATAACAATTACAAGTTTTTATGGGAGAATTCAATCATACACGCTATGATTATAATTATAATTTAAAGTTCAAAGGACTAAATATGCCGAAGCATTTGTATCTTTTAAATTCGGACTTGTATTGCCCATTTGGTGCACAATTAATTTGAAATCGGATAAATATATAAATGGGAGCTATATCCAAATCGGAACCGATCTTGATAAAATTTGGCAAAGCAATTTCTGAGCTGTATTTAATATATTTCCCTGAATATCTGTGTTACGTAGTGCATATTACGGCTGCGGAGGACAAAAATAACAAATCGGATGAAAAATATATATGGGAGCTATAGCTATATCTGAACCGATTTCGATCAAATTTGGCTTAACTTATTTTCAGGCCTAATTTAGTTGTATGTGCAAAATTCCATACTATTCGGACTGATATTACACGTTTGGTGCACAATAAAAAGCAAATCGGACGAAGATATATAGGGGAGCTATATCTAAAATTTGACCGATTATCTCCAATTTCAACAGGGTTTGTCCTTAGGCCAAACAAATGATTTTTGAAAAATTTCATCTGAATAGGGCAATAAATGCGAACTGTACTTTGTTTACAAAAATACATGCAGATCATCAAAAGGAACTATGGCTCTGTCTCGTTTCCTTTTGTCTGTTACAAACAAATGCACAAAGACATAATACCCTGACCACCTTGTGGTGTTGCAGGTTTTTTATCTCACCCAGTATATGACCGATTCCAATGAAATTGAAAATGTGTGGCGGAATTTGGTTACTATAATAAATTTGACAAATTAATTGGAAATCGCTTAAGATTTGGATATAGCTCCCATATAAAGATTCTGGGCCGATTTCACGCAATTTGACGCAATTTTAATGAAATATGGAAGGTGTAACGGAATTTGGTGTAAAAGTAATTTTTATCTAATTATATTGAAATCGGTTCAGATTGTTGTATGGCTTTATTAAGAGGTATTGTCCCACAACGGCTTTTCAACGGCATTAGGTTAACAGTAAAAAACTACACAACAATTTAACTGAGGATACGATTATTACGGGTAAATATATTGCTACCTCGAATGCTCTAATTGCAGCAGAAAAACAACTCTAACAAGTTTAAGTTACCTTTTATCCTCCTCCACGAAACCAAGTTCACAATTTCAACAATATGTATGAATGTTGCATTTATATTTTTAAACAAATCTATCTATATATATAAAAGAAAATTGTGTTAGTTACTACGCTTATAACTTAAGAACCGCTGGAATGATTTTAACGATTCATACAAATTTGGAATTGTCTCCTTTCCGAAAAGGATAATATAAAAAAAATCGCGTAAATATGTGATATTTTAACATTTTCATTTTGACTTGAAATGTTCAATAGTAATGTTTTATTTTGCATGATTTTTTTCCATTTTGACTTACTTTTTTCTAATGTACTTTTGTAGTGTTTTTTATATTTTATTTTTGAATTCAAATATTAATACCAATTTATTTAATTAACTTGATTTCTTGAGAACTGAAATTGATGTCAGGTGTGACGACGTGTTTTCACTTTGAAGCTGGGGTAGGTTCAGCGGGGGCCAGAGTCGTCACAAAAATTTATTTGTTAGGACATAAAGAGAGAGAGAGAGCGAAGCAAAAATATTTTCTTAAAACGTTATAAATTTATTTCCTTAAATAACACTAAACACTACACTAAACACAATAAAATCACGTTCAGAACGTTTTACGAAGAACACTAAATCACAAAGTTCAGTCGAAATGTTAATAAACGGGTAGCAGTGGTGGCAGCTTGGCACAGCGGCGGCCCGATGAATAGGCGAGCGACGAATAGAGTGGCGGCAGCTTGGCACAGCGGCGGCCCGATGAATAGGCGAGCGACGAATAGGGTGGCGGCGGCTTTGGCACAGCGGCGGCCCGATGAATAGGCGAGCGACGAATAGTAGTGGCGGCAGCTTGGCACAGCGGCGGCCCGATGAATAGGCGAGCGACGAATAGGGTGGCGGCGGCTTTGGCACAGCGGCGGCCCGATGAATAGGCGAGCGACGAATAGTAGTGGCGGCAGCTTGGCACAGCGGCGGCCCGATGAATAGGCGAGCGACGAATAGGGTGGCGGCGGCTTTGGCACAGCGGCGGCCCGATGAATACGTCAGCGGCGAGTAGTAGTGGCGGCAGCTTGGCACAGCGGCGGCCTGATGAATACGCGCACGACGAATCGGGTGGCGGCAGCTTTGGCACAGCAGCAGCCCGATGAGTACGTCAGTCGCCGTCAACGCAGCCCGAAGAATAGGGAGTATTGCTACAACCCTCACTTGACCCTGCGTTCAGTCGCCGTCAACGCAGCCCGAAGAATAGGGAGTATTGCTACAACCCTCACTTGACCCTGCGTTCAGTCGCCGTCAACGCAGCCCGAAGAATAGGGAGTATTGCTACAACCCTCACTTGACCCTGCGTTCAGTCGCCGTCAACGCAGCCCGAAGAATAGGGAGTATTGCTACAACCCTCACTTGACCCTGCGTTCAGTCGCCGTCAACGCAGCCCGAAGAATAGGGAGTATTGCTACAACCCTCACTTGACCCTGCGTTCAGTCCAGTCCAGTCACCACAAATAGTCAAGGCTTATTGTTTGGCTTACTAAGACTCAATTCAACCGAGGTTGCGCGCCTTTTCTTCCTCCCAATCACACTTGACTTACCAGCCATCAACAGAAGACTGATCCCGATTGTGTGAAATGCGTCTCCTTTTATACCTTTTTGGCTGGACAACGATTGTTGTTTTCTCATGACAGCAGCTGATCCCAATCTGACAGTTTTTCGTAGTTCCGCCATTTGCCACCAGGGGTTCCAATGTTGTATTTTAAGTATACTTCTTTCTACTAGGGGACCTGTGTGACCGTTAATATTCAAATACATTTAAATTACATGACCCTGAGTAGCTATTAGTTTAATTCATAACTTAAATATTTTAATTCATTTTCAAACAAAAAAAATATAATTCATAGTTGATGTATATAACATAAGTAAGTAAAAATGGTATTTAAAATAATAATGTACCCCAAAAACGAAAGCATGACTTTTGGGCGTTACATGGCATCTCTTCCTCCCTCTGATTTTTGATTCCTTGATTTGCTTTCTCTATTGCTATTGGGTTTCAATAGCCAGGAAGCCCTAGGGTGTTATGTAACCTTTTATTTCTCCGACATGGGCACTTTGGTTCGACTATATCTCGGTCGAATAGGAAGGTATGTTAGAGACCAATTGCAGAAGTTCGGAGAGATACCTTCACTACCCCGTCTGCTGATATTATTATGCGGTACTGCTTGCCATCTTGTTTAACAATTCGCTTCAGTTTGTGTCCCTTTTTCCAATTGTTTTTAAACTTCTCGATACGGATTTGTAGGTTTTCGGGATAATTTGGCAGTTCGAGAAATGTGTTATCGTTCACGGGATTGTCTGTCGAGGACGATGGCGTTGACTCAGTTGGGATTACAGTGACTGGCAATTTGATTGTACTTGGTGTGCTATTATTCTCCTTACTGGGTATAAACACTTCATCGATGGAAGGTTGACTGCTACACAATGTTGGCTGATGAGGTGTCATCGTTTGGCTTGTGGATGATGATGACGACGACGAGGCTGATGAGGATGAGGATGACGATCGGGAAGATATCGATGGTGATGACAGTTCGACAACGTATCCCGGCGTTCCTGGTAATGATTTATCTTCCTTCACGTTGGGGGACCTGTGATCGTCCGATATGACGGCAGCATTGGATTGCGATGGAATTTGTACGTCATCACTATGCAACAGATTTGCTTGTTCGGTTATGTTATATAGCGGTGATGATGGAGGAACACCAACCAGCGTCTGCCATTGGGTCCACCACTCAGAACTAGGATCTTCGGAAACTGTCACAAAACTACTTGCGGTCGATCTGGAGTCTTCTTCTAAATGTGCGAAAGCATGTGAGGATGAAGTAGGAACCTCCTCATGTTTGTGTGAGGTGTTGGATATTGAATGGATATCTTCGGTGTTGATCTCTTCCCCTATCGCGGGTGTGGGTGAGGGCGTACGATGATTATCCGGCGGTGGGTTGGTTATTTCATATATTGGATTTTCCCCGGAGTCGGGGACCAAAAGCTGCACAGTAACTGTTCTCTCATAACAGCGAAATCCGAGATATTTGTATTGGCTATCTTTCTGACGGACAAATCCCAGACCATACCTTTTTGGCGGAGACGAGGAACGTTGATCTTCGTTATCCGACTCATCCAGCGAGGAATTATTCGAGGATAAGGGTGACTGTGCTCGCCGAGTCACTGAGGTTTCTAAGTAACCGTAAAACATACGCCGACATTCTTCCTCCATTTCGAAATTTGATTGAGATTCATCCGACTCCTCCATATTGGGCCGAGGAAGAGTTGATGCGTCATCTGAGTCACGACACCATTCTTTACCCGGTGTAGCAGGCATTTCTGAGCACCTTGAAGTGGGTGTTGAGAGCACATCGGAAGCCGGCTTAAAGCTATTTGGCGAACCAAAACACGGGGCGTAGGTTGGTGTACGCGGGACGTCACTACTAGGCTGGGTTTCCTCGTTCAAAGAGTCAGTTTCATCGATATCGTCGCTGTTGTTTTCGGTCGTGTTACACTTTTGCTGTGGAACGTCATTCGGGGTTGTGCTGCACATTCGGTAAAATATTTGGTGCTGGGGCGATGAGGATTGACTGCTACCCTTTCTTGGATTGGGCTTACGGTATTGATTTGTTCTCCTCTTTCGGCTGGTACTAGGACCTTCGTCTAAAAATATTGTCCTTCGCCTTTGAGCCTCGACTTGTTCCAGATGAGCTCGAAATTTCTCCTTCGCCCGTTTGAATTTTTTCGTGTTGGGGCTATCTTGCTCCATCGTGATGTTGAAATTTTGAGAATTGCGATGGTCTTTGCAGTATGGGCTTATATTAGGACACTGATTAGTTTGGGTATTGTCAATTTAATGTCTAAAAATAAAATAAGAAATTATAATGAAATGGCATCACATAAACGTAAGTGGAACTACAATCAACATTCTACTTCTATGTCTACAATTTAATTTTGTTCTTCATAAAAAGGCTTAATTTCACTTAAGTGCGCGACGCGGGTGATGTTGCCTTTTCCTCGGACTACAACGATTACTGGAGATTGGAATTTTTGTACGACAAACGGCCCTCCGTATTTGGGCGCTAGTTTGGCGGCGAAATTTTCGACGGCCTTCGACTGAGGATGTAGACGAACTAGAACTTGCTCCCCAATCTTTGGTTTCCAAACTCGTCGTCTAAGGTTGTACTGTCTCCGCTGGTTTTGAGATGCTTTTGCCAAGTTTCGACGCACTATCTTAAATATTTCTTTCAACTCCTGGGCACGGTCTTCTGGTAAGACTATTCTAGCACCAGTTCCTGTTGTGAGCTGATCATATAATGCCTGGGGCAGTCGCGGTTCTCTTCCTTGTGTCAGGTATGCCGGCGAATATCCAGTGGATTCTGATGCACTAGTGTTTATGGCTAACATTATTTCGGGCAGCATATCGTCCCATGTATTATGTTGTTTCGAAACTTGTGCTATCATTGTTTTCACTGTCCGATTTGTCCTTTCAGTAGGGTTCTCTTGCGGGGTGTAAGGAGCCGTAAGTTGATGCTTTATACCCATTTCTGCTAGGAATTTTTCGAATTGGTTGCTAGTGAATTGGGTTCCGTTATCGGTTATCAATATTTTTGGAACCCCATATCTAGAAATAATTCTTTCTCTGCATGCCTTTATTAATCCCTCTGTCGTAGCCTTCCGCAATGGAACCAACTCCGTCCATTTTGAGAATCTATCCATAATAACGAGTAGCATTGAGTTACCGTGCTTAGATCGCGGTAGGGGTCCTACGAAGTCCGCACAAATAGTGGCCCATGGTTCCTCCGGGATTCTTATCAACATTTCCCCTGCTGGTTTCTGTTGGCTGACCTTATATTTTTGGCAACATTCGCACTGCTGGACATAACGTTTGATGTCCTGGAACATACCAGGCCAAAAATATCGGTTCGCCACCTTGTTGCTAGTCTTCCGCACTCCCAAATGACCTCCGGTGACACTGTCATGATTTTCTCTAAGGACCTGAATCCTTGATCCGGTGGGCACACACAGCTTCCATGGTGTGCAATCTTCATCGTTTATTTGCTTGGGAAAATGTCGATAAACATTTCCCTCAATGATTGTATAGTCTGGATACTTCTTCGGATTCTTGGTTATGGTTTCCTTCAACTTTTCTAGCCATGGGCACGGACTGGTGTCATATTTTACTGTGGCTAGGTCTAACGTTTCCAAAGGTGTTCTCGAAAGCGCATCCGCCACAACGTTCTGTTTTCCTCTACGGTATCTGATCAAAAAATTATATTGCTGTAGCTCGAGAGCCCAACGTGCGAGTCGACCTGTAGGGCTTTCAATAGAATTTAACCATTTTAGGGCCAAATGATCGGTAATAACTATAAACTGGTAACCCTCTAAATAGGGTCTCATGTGTCTGATGCCCCACAGTATGGCTAGACATTCCTTTTCAGTCGCTGAGTAGTTCTTTTCAGCCTGTTTTAAATGTCTGCTGGCGTAGGCTATGACACGTTCCACGTTATCTAACTCCTGTGTTAGAACTGCTCCAAGGCCATAGTTGCTGGCATCAGTTTGCAATATGAACGTCTTTGTGAAATCCGGACAAGCCAGAACGGGGGCTTCAGTTAACTTTGCTTTTAGGTCTGAGAATGCTTCTTGTTGTTCGGGACCCCATTTCCAATGTTTTCCCTTTTTAAGAAGACTAGTCAATGGTTGTGAAATTGTTGCAAACTGTGGGACAAATCTTCGGTACCAAGATGCTACTCCAAGAAATCTTCGTACCTCCTTTACCGATGTTGGAGGTTTCATTTCCACTATTGCGGCAACTTTATCTGGATCCGTCTTTATTCCCTCGCTACTCACAACATGGCCTAAATACTTCGTTTCTTTTCTGAAAAATTCGCATTTCTCAATGTTTATTCTCAGGTTAGCTGATCGCAATCTTCTGAACACTTCTCTCAAGTTCCGCAAGTGTTCCTCAAACGTTTTTCCAATGACGATGATATCGTCAAGGTATGCAAAAGCGTGGGGGTCCATTTCAGGCCCAATCACACTATCTAATGCCCGTTGGAAGGTTGCCGGTGCTGAATGCAAACCGAAAGGCATCACTTTCCACTGATATAGACCTTTACCAGCTACCGCAAAGGCCGTGTATTTTCTGCTCTCCTTCGCCATAGGTATTTGCCAATATCCGTCTTTAAGGTCCAGGCTACTCACGTATTTGGCATCCCGTAGTCGATTCAGTATTGTGTCGATGCGGGGTAAAGGGTAGGCATCTGGAACAGAACGTTTATTCAATTGGCGAAAATCCATACAAGTTCTCCAATTCCCATTTTTCTTTCTGACTAATGTGATGGGGAAACAGTATGGGCTTGTAGACGGCTCTATACATCCTCGTCCTTCGAGCTTTCTCACTTCGGCATTAATCACGGCTTGCATTGCAGGATTTCGCGGAGCATATCTTAATTTAATGGGTCGATCGTCGGTCATTACAATCTTATGTTCAGCTATTGACGATAGGCCATTTAATTGTTGGAACTTAGGGAGTTCCTGTGCCAGAAAATTTTCAACGATCTCACATTGCGTTTTACTCAATTCATCGTTTAAGAATTTAGGTCTGGGGGATACATTATTCGTAGCTGTCATTGTATCTATTACCTCTTTTGATGGGGTTTCCTCTCCTATAGCCACGGTACAATGCTCCGTTGATGTGGTTGGCTTACTTAATTTGACACTTATACCGGCGCAGTGAATGGTCGTGTGGAACTGTTTTAGAAATTCCAATCCCAATATGATGTTTTCCTTGAATTGCGGCATGATGAGAAATGTAACATCTGAGCTTTGGTTTCCAAATGTAACAGGTAACACTGTTGATCTTGTGATGTTCACCGTGGTGCCGTCTGCGAGGATAACATTTGCCTCATGCCGTGAATAAGTAAACCTTTTCTTGATTTTTTCCGCAAATTCTCTTTTTATAAAACAGCTAGTGGCACCCGTGTCGACAGTTGCTTTAATAGCTTTCCCCTCTATTAAGACAGTTGCAGTAAGGCGATATTCTTCACATTGCAATGAGGTAATATTCTGGTTACTCTTCTTTGCCGGGGGTTCATCCTGCTGCGTTTCTGGATTGGATGAGCTTTCGTTGAGCACTTGGTCACCTTGATTGGTGCAATACAGGTTATTTCTAGAGTTGTCCGCACGTCGATTATAGTTTTGTTGATTTCGAGGCTGTTCTGACCGAGAATTATTTGGTATGCTTTCGAGTTCGTCTGCCAAGGAGATCAATTCCGAAAGTGTGGTAAAGTCTTTACGGCGAATGTACCATTGATAATCCGAATGCGCGTTTCTAAAAATTCGTTCCAATTTTTGTTCTTCGGTCATATTGGTGTGCTGCATAAGATGCTGTATAGAGAGTACATATTCCTTAAACGGCTCCTTATTACGCTGTATCCTTCTCCTAATTTCATCCTCCAATTTCTCAAAGTATCTCGGTGGCAAAGAGAATTTCAGAAAATCACTCTTAAATTCGTTCCAGGTAGTCCAGTGTCGGTTGTTGTTCCTTAGCCAGATTAAAGCTTTACCTCGTAACAACTCTGGCATTACTTTAATTATTTGATTCAATTCCACGATGTACATTTCAGCCATTTCTTCTACACGTTCTATGAATCCAATAGGGTCCATTCCATTTTCAAAAGTAATATGCCATTTTCGGATTTGGTCGAGAATTACGAGTAACGACGAATTATTGGATGGCTTGGGCGGAGAATCTTTTTGAAATCCATATTCGGGGTTTGTTGGCGACATCTTCTGTACTTTTTGATCGTTTGTTACCCCTGTGCTTGACTCTCCATGTGACCTTTCCGCGGAAATGTGGGGAAGGGCGTACTCTGTTTTTATTGGGGATAATACTATTGCTTCTGCTCCACACGGTGTTACGGTTATAAGGGGTTGTTTTGTGACGGCTCGCAATGTCGGCGATTTGGTCGGACTGGTACTTTCATGTTTGTTCTGCAACTCTATAAGCCGTCTGTATACATCGGCTTCATGGTCGTTGTGGAGAAATTTAGCCCATCTTTTTCGGAGATCGTCCACTTTTCCAACTGGATCAAGATTGAATTCAGTAAGATATGTTACCAAGTCTTCTTGCTTTAGCATATAGGCCCAGGAGACCTTCAACATTGTCTTTTCGTTTGACATTTTTTTTTTTTTTTTTTTTTTTTTTATTATTTTTACTTGTTTCAGTTTTTTTTAACTGTTTTTTTTTCACTGGGTTTTCATCTGTATTTGTCTAATTATTGTTCACTCATTTATTTATTCTTTCTCTCTTTTATAGTCCCTGCTCGGGCGCCATTGTGACGACGTGTTTTCACTTTGAAGCTGGGGTAGGTTCAGCGGGGGCCAGAGTCGTCACAAAAATTTATTTGTTAGGACATAAAGAGAGAGAGAGAGCGAAGCAAAAATATTTTCTTAAAACGTTATAAATTTATTTCCTTAAATAACACTAAACACTACACTAAACACAATAAAATCACGTTCAGAACGTTTTACGAAGAACACTAAATCACAAAGTTCAGTCGAAATGTTAATAAACGGGTAGCAGTGGTGGCAGCTTGGCACAGCGGCGGCCCGATGAATAGGCGAGCGACGAATAGAGTGGCGGCAGCTTGGCACAGCGGCGGCCCGATGAATAGGCGAGCGACGAATAGGGTGGCGGCGGCTTTGGCACAGCGGCGGCCCGATGAATAGGCGAGCGACGAATAGTAGTGGCGGCAGCTTGGCACAGCGGCGGCCCGATGAATAGGCGAGCGACGAATAGGGTGGCGGCGGCTTTGGCACAGCGGCGGCCCGATGAATAGGCGAGCGACGAATAGTAGTGGCGGCAGCTTGGCACAGCGGCGGCCCGATGAATAGGCGAGCGACGAATAGGGTGGCGGCGGCTTTGGCACAGCGGCGGCCCGATGAATACGTCAGCGGCGAGTAGTAGTGGCGGCAGCTTGGCACAGCGGCGGCCTGATGAATACGCGCACGACGAATCGGGTGGCGGCAGCTTTGGCACAGCAGCAGCCCGATGAGTACGTCAGTCGCCGTCAACGCAGCCCGAAGAATAGGGAGTATTGCTACAACCCTCACTTGACCCTGCGTTCAGTCGCCGTCAACGCAGCCCGAAGAATAGGGAGTATTGCTACAACCCTCACTTGACCCTGCGTTCAGTCGCCGTCAACGCAGCCCGAAGAATAGGGAGTATTGCTACAACCCTCACTTGACCCTGCGTTCAGTCGCCGTCAACGCAGCCCGAAGAATAGGGAGTATTGCTACAACCCTCACTTGACCCTGCGTTCAGTCGCCGTCAACGCAGCCCGAAGAATAGGGAGTATTGCTACAACCCTCACTTGACCCTGCGTTCAGTCCAGTCCAGTCACCACAAATAGTCAAGGCTTATTGTTTGGCTTACTAAGACTCAATTCAACCGAGGTTGCGCGCCTTTTCTTCCTCCCAATCACACTTGACTTACCAGCCATCAACAGAAGACTGATCCCGATTGTGTGAAATGCGTCTCCTTTTATACCTTTTTGGCTGGACAACGATTGTTGTTTTCTCATGACAGCAGCTGATCCCAATCTGACAGTTTTTCGTAGTTCCGCCATTTGCCACCAGGGGTTCCAATGTTGTATTTTAAGTATACTTCTTTCTACTAGGGGACCTGTGTGACCGTTAATATTCAAATACATTTAAATTACATGACCCTGAGTAGCTATTAGTTTAATTCATAACTTAAATATTTTAATTCATTTTCAAACAAAAAAAATATAATTCATAGTTGATGTATATAACATAAGTAAGTAAAAATGGTATTTAAAATAATAATGTACCCCAAAAACGAAAGCATGACTTTTGGGCGTTACACAGGTTACATGGAGTGTAGTACCGAATTATGTGGTGGGGAAACGGAATAGATGATATCGAAATAATTGTACACGGTCACACCAAAATAAAAAGATAATTACTTTTACAAAATCGTTAAGAAAGAGATCTCATTGCAAAAATTCTCAAATCGGGAAAAAAAACGAAAAAAAAATTTCAATGGAATCGAATTTTAAAATAATAGTACATTCTATTGTCAAACTTTGTAAGGATCTTTAAAAATTTGCTGTAAAAAATCAGCGAAAAAGTTGAAAAAGCCTAATGGGGCTCATTTTAAAGCGTGGACCTACTTCTTTCATGTGACAATAATCCGTCCAATGAGAGTTCAAAATGCAAAATTCTTTGGGAGTACAATCAGTAAAATACCAAATATAAAGGGTGGAAAATAGTAGAGCGAATGGGACTCTTAGTAAGAAAATGTAGATACCTTATATCGCTTTTGCAGGTCATGATATCGATCATAACTCACGTATAAATGTAGAACCCGATAACGATCGTATAATTTAACCTATTTTTGGGGTCTTGGCCACTTTTTTCTTTTTTTTTTAGAGAACCTCTTCGCATAAAATTTGAAATTTTTGGAATAGGGCCCATATTGGTCTTGACCACATTCATCAATTGATTTGGCTAAAAATTGTATTTATGCTGCCCTGAGGTAGGGAGCCATCATACAGATAATTGCCCCATAGGAATTTATTTAAGTAAAGTCCCCACATTGGAATATCGCCAAGTCCACTTTCACATCTAATGTGTGGTCAGAAAAGAAAATTTTGTATTCTACTGAATTTGTAACCCCCAAGAGAATATTGGTTGGACCACGTTTTGGTATAACCCTTATATGATTGTATCCCCGATTTCAGCTATGACCGTGGTCTTGGCCACGTTTTTCAACTGATTTGGCCATTATTTGACATCTTGGCTTTTCTATTTCGAGGGTCTTGACCACATTTTCTAATCGATTTTTCTGTATTTAAGCTACTTTGCGAGTAGAGAACCATCTTACAGAAAAATGGGTGTAAGAGCGTAATTAACTTTGACTATTCAGAAATTATTTTGCCCTCCTTCCATTGGTATTTATTTCTATTTAGTCGGATCAATATTTATATTAAAATTTGTTCACTTTTATGAGCCAGATTTGTGAAATATTATGCTATACAAAATTTGCATTAAAGGCTAAAACTACGGGCCGGCAACGCGGACCTGGCCAGCTAGTATATCATAATTTTCAATTCGATTCTTTGCTGTGTTTAGGAATTTTTCGACAGCTAGAATGTTCCAATTTGAATCTTAAGAAATATAATATCCCTAAATTACTTTTGGTTTCTTTCCTTAAGCAATCTAATTTTTCCTCCAATCTTTTTAGTATTACCCCACTTAATGTCGACCGTAAGTCAGATAAATGACTACAAATTCATTATTTGCAATTGGTTCGAGTTGGTCATGAGTTAGAGCTTCCAGTGCTAAAAATATATACTTGAATATGCATATACATATGTATAAAATTGTGTACGCTATATACAAAGAACGAACATACCAACAACCATATGGACATCTAAATACATAAGTACATACGTATATAAATATATAGATAACACAAAACAGACAGTTATGGGAGAGGTCTAACATATGAACACTTGTTTTTAATTTATTTTAAATTCTTGGATTTATTCAGAAAATGTATTCACACACACATGCACACATACATATGCATTTACTCACATCCGTATATATAACTGTGTCGGTGTGCCTGCAATCAAGGCTACTTTCGAAGACCATGTGAAACAAACGGGAAGCACACTCCAAAGTAAATGCTAATTAAATAATACCATATTTGACCTAAATTGTTTAAACTGCTCTGCACTGTACAATGCAATTAAATAGTTAAGAGTTGGCATCATCAACCTCATGCTAGCTTTTCATTTTGAACTGAAGATAATTTTGAATTAGACAAAAGGAAATCGTACGTTAAGCATTTTACGGCTTGCTGTTCGGGGGGGCGCGGAGCAAAGGGATGAAGACGAGGGAATGGCAATAAACACGAAACATGATATACTTGAAATTAGTAAATTACTACGTTCAACAAAATGTAGTTTTAAATTTAAACGAAATATTGTAAGCAATTTATCAATTTGTGGAGAATTAATTAAGGAGGGATGGTAATGGGCGAATGTTATGGTACCCTACATCATAACAACTATCTTGTGGCATTTGTCATAGAAAGATATCTAAAATCAGCAAAAATATGTTCTGAATTACCGATATTGATTATTGGAAACTTAAATGGATCTATAAATGCTATATTATACAGGGTGAGATATAAAAACTGTAACAAAGTCAAATGCCATAATTTTTATTTTTTTTAATTATAATTAACGAGAGCAAAAAACGTCGGAAATAGCATCAAATTTTAGAATAAGTTTAAATTTGTTCGAATTGGTCACCTTTCGCACAAATGATGGCCTTCAAACGGCCAATGACAATGTCAAACGCTGCCCGAATGTTGCCCTGCGGTGTTATGGTCCATTCCGACACTTTTTTATTTTTTAGTGCCAATCTTGCTTTCCACAATTCTTCAAACACAATAGTCCAATGGATTGGTATCCGGAGATTTTGGTGGCCATTGTGCGCTGGAAATGAACTATTCTTAGGTGACGCGTGCTGAGTGCGATGGTGCTGAATCCTGTTGGAATGTCTGCGGCCAAAATGTTTGCGTGCCCAAGACTTTATACACCCACCAGAATATTTTTGCGATAATA